GACCGAAAAAAGGAACGCCTGAGAGACAAAGGCCTAGGCCGACATGGCAGCAAGGCCCATGGGCCGTCGAAGGACCCGGGCAAAAGAGAGTCCTCCCGACACATGCCTGACACAACACAAAAACGAAAGCTAAACCAAAAAAAAAAAAAAAATCGGAAAAAAATTGGAGAGGGTTTTGGGGAAGGAGAGGTAAACATGAACAGGGCCACGTTGAACCTTTAACTAACACACAAAAGGCTTTCTCAACGGTTTCTAAAGTTGCAGGCTTCCAACCAGTGGCAAGACAAAAAAGAGTCTACACTGAAAAGAATAAGCTATGTTCATTAAAAATGTAAAATGCAGCTTGATTATAACTTTGAAGGTTTAGTATCTTTTCATGCCATTCTTTTCAGCCTTTGCAATATGCAAAATCCTTGTAAGGTTTTTGAAAATTGGTTATCAATACGAGAAATTCGAGTAAAATTAATTTGGTTAACCAATTTTATAGCATTAGTTAAGATTTGGTAATACTAAACAATCTTATAAACTAATTGTTGTCTCTGCATTGCCTTTCTCTTCTGCTGTTAATATATGTTAACTTTATATAATCTTTCAAAATTAATTTGATTATTATTTCTTAAAGTGTCGTGTAGGTTAAAGTGAGAGCTCTTGCAATGCTGTGAGGGAAGGCATGAAGGGAAGTAGGGTGAGTCCAAAGTAAACATGTCGAATGAAGGATACTTAAGAAGCTCTGGAAAAGAGGGTCGCCCGAAAAGTTGACTCGCTGCCGAGTGTACTCATTTGCCAAGTGACTTTGAACTGGCTGTGGGCTAGTTTCCAGCGATTTGTTTTCACAAATCCTTGATATGCCCAGAATCTTCTTAAGGAATGTGAGGATTTGATTTGGATTTGAAGGTCTTGATCTAACGTTGTTAGAATACGATTTTTTTGCTAACATAAAATGTTATTAAGTCTTCGTTAACAACTATTTGGTGGTAAGTGTGATTTATTTACTTACTGACAAACGTTTTTTATCCAAATAAATAATCAAAACATAAATAACAACGTTAAAATGGTTTACTCTGAGTGTTTGTAGACTTTTTGTTGAACAGAAACAATCCAAACTCTTCCATTGACCCACGCAGTGCATTGCCAGCACTCCACTTTATTTGGCTTTGCCACATTACAATATTATAAACAATAATCCGCTCCGAAAGGCGAAACACAAATGGAACAATTCCTGGGATGTGCACAAGAAGGGTGTCCTGGCACTTTGACACACTCTTCCGTGCTGAGACGACTCACCCAGATGTCCTGGGATGTCGAGCGCCACTTAATGACATAAACACTGGCAATGGTCGTTTGGCCCGTGAGTTGTGGCATTTGGGGTTGTGGCATCTTGGGCATCTCAAGCATCTCGGGACCAGCCCATTTCAGCCGGAGCTCTGCCGGAAGTTGTCCTAATGAGAAAAGCGTTGAGCCACCAATCCGCCAATCCGCCATTGTCGTCCTTGCTCACGAACAAGGAACCGCAAAAGGGCGGGAATGTGAATCCCTGGCACTAATATTATTAATTTGCAACTGTTGTTGGTTCGCGTTGCGAGAGTTAAGTTAAGTCAAAGGCAAATATCATTCATGGCATTTAGTGGGCAATAAAATACGCTGAAAAGGACGGGAGAATTTCCATTTCCATTTCCAGTTCCATTTCCAGACGAGTGAGTGCTCGGGGAAAATGCGAAACTGATTTAAATGCTTTCTTAAGCGTATTTCCGGTTTTTGGTTGTAAATATTTGCTTAACTGATTGCACAGAGAGGCCAAAAAAGAGAGAAAGAAAGTCGAGTCGAGAAACACTTTTCGAATTAAGTCCTTCTTGCTGTTCAGATTGCTTTTTGTGGTTTGGCTGTATTTTGTCCCTTGATTTCGATTTTGTTTCTGCTTTCGGTTTGTGCAATTGACATGTTTTTATTAAACATTTCATCGATTTGGCAGCAAATGGTGTGCAATATGGAATTCAAGACTTGATTGCGGCTTTCACAGGCAGATTTCGTTGAATTCGTAGCGAAACTTGCAACAAAGTGCGAACAATTTGCGGTTAATAAAAGCCATTAAAATCAATCTCCAGCAGAATGTTTATAATTGGAAATCAAACACAAAGTGTTATTCGATGATTTTTGTTTCTTCAGCTCAATTGACAAGATTCTTTAATTAAATTTTCAATCAATGGGTGCCAGCCATCCAGCCAGCCATTCAAAGCGTCTACAAATCGCATCATTATCTCAGCTATGAATTTGATTAGCTTATGGCTAAATCCAAACAGACACGCCAATCGGAACAACAATGGCATGCTAAAATGCCTCGAGGCATTCATTCTATTTATCATTTATCCCAGCCATTTATCGAGAGAAATTCGAGATGCCAACTCCGGGGGGGCAGGCTGCCAAGGGGGTCTGATGAGATATTGCCCGAATAAATGAAGGCATTTACATTTAAAACATTTATGCGCAAATATTTGCCAGCTTTAAGGGCATTAGCCGGCGTATCGGGCGAGGCATATTGTCTTACATTTTCAGTATGGGTAACGGTCTGTGCACAGAAACAGTATGAGATACAGAATCAAAATCCCAGTGAACTCGAAACCATTCGAAAGTTTCCAGCAAATAAAACATCCATACACGAACGCATGTATGACTAAACAATCTGAAACTCGACTGTATTAGTTCAATTCAAACTTTTTCGAGCGTAACTTGAAAAGTTTCAATTTGTGCATGACAATCTCCGTCTGTCAGTGGTCCTCTGTCTCTATCCGACTGTCTATCTGTCGGCGCTTCTACGTGTGGGTTGGACCGTATGTCTGAGGGAAAATTAACTAGAGATTAGAAGTTAAAGGGGATCTCTTTCTTGAAATTGAGAGGAAAGGACATTATTTCATGTAGAAAACAGCTGTTCATGTTCCTCAATATCTTTAAAAATATTATTTATAGTCAGTAAATACTTATTTATACTTTTTGTAAGCATAAAGTGAGTAATAACTTAAGGAAAAGATCAAGCTTAATGGCTTAGAAACCACCTTTAACAAAGAAAATATAGGAAAAAAGTGCCCTTAAAGCTCTTCTTAATATTCAAATCACTTTTCCTAGATGCTAGCAAAATCCCTGAGCTTCTTCCTAAAAATTTTTCAAGCACACTTTCTACACTTGAGATTTCCCTGAATTCACTACAACAAATTCGTGTTATATTTTTGTGATTTGATAAAATGTTTTCCCATTTGTACAGAGTTTAGAAGGCTGAGTAAAAAAGTTTCTGCAAATTCACAAAACGTACGGAGCTCTGAGGCAGAGAAGAACTTTTGGAGGTTTTTGCTAAATTTGATTTTAAAGGCGGCCTGGCCGAATTTCAATTAAATGCAGGTGCACTCGTAGGTGCAAAATCGCAGGACGAGAAAATCGATAGCTCAGACTCAGGTGGCATTGATAGTCGCCTTGGCAAAAAGGCAAAACTTTCAGAGCCAGTCCATTCACGAATGCGAAAAAAGGCCAAAGCTTGGTGGCCAAAGGTGAGCCACTCTGGGGGCCAGCAATGGTGGATTGGGAATGGGTCAGAGTCGGTGCCACTGGCTGAGCGAATCAAGTGGCAAATGCCAAATGGCATCCTGACCTAACCCAGCGGCAAGAACAGGAGCAAGAGCAGCAGCATCAGCCAACAGAGGCCAAGTCACTGGATGAACTCGACTGCCGGCGAATGGCATTCTGAACCGTGCACCGTGCACCGTGATACGGGAATGGGTAAATTAACGAGAGGAAATTGTGTTTCAGAAATGCAATGAAAAATTATTGTCGAGCAGTGAAGCGGGCACGGGTATTTGTCAGTTGCGAAATAAAAAAATTGATATGAAAGTGCATCAAGTCAAGGAGAGAATGAAGCTGTGTACGTGCTCAATGTCTTAGTGTCTCTCAAATTAGAGCAATAAATGGGTTTCGTATAACACGGGGAATTAAATGAAGTGAAAAGAAAACTCTTTATTTTATCTATTAGATTTAAAAAGTGTAGACTTAAAGTAAGACTTAAAGATTGGATGTGCTTAATCAAGTCTTTTATTTTTATGGCTTTCAAGGACAACTAATACTTCTACTAATAAAAGTATAAAGAAAGTTCTAGGCAGTTTCTGTTGTCAAATTTACACTTATTAGTTACTTTAAAAATTAAATTTTTTAATATATATGTATGAAGCCAATATATAAAACATACACCATATTTTTATGTTACAAGAATATAAAAGTCCAAAGTAAAAAAAAGGTTAATTTCCCTGCCATAAAATTTAAATGAGAAATGAAACTGTATAACATTTCAAGGTTCTTTCTAATTAACACACATCAAGATTGTCTGGAAAATTGTCTTTTCTACAAACTTGATGCACAGGACCATAGCCCATAATGTGATTACCTTAGTTGGCTCTGGGAAAACAAAGACCGTAACGTTTATCTTAATCGCCAGAGCCTAGACTTCCATAGACTTTAAGCTAATAAAATAAATTGCTTAGAATACGAAATGGTGTAGTGAATTTTTAACCACTGTTCATTGTGCGATTTGTATCATTAGGAGGTCCTAGACAAACCAGGACATTCTCCATCCCAGCTGTCGGCAGTCTGGCAGAGGAGTTGAGTTTGGCCTAGCCGACGGCGGGAAATGTACATATTTAAAGTGTCGGCCAACTAAGGTTCTCAACTTTATTAAAAAGCCAGCCGTATGGCATTGGGTGGTGACCCCAGAGAGAAAGAGAGAGGAGCAGCCGCTTAACTAGGCAGCATTTCCAGTTTACGTAACCACTAAAAATGGCGCCCAATGTGTTTTCTGTTTTCTGTTTGCTGTTTTCTATTTTCTATTTTCCGTTTGCCGTGTTTGGTGTGTTTGTGTGCGCTTTTCCTGTTCTCTGTACTTGTGCTTTTTTTTTAACATATTTTTTTCGTTTGTTTTACTTTTCACGTGCTGCGGAATGAAGGAGAAGTTTTTATTGTTTGCTTACTTGCTCAACACGCTCTGTACGTCCGCCGTTGATGATGAGCGGTAGAAAGGCGAGAGCAGGACGAACGGCAGGATGAGCCCGCCAGCCGCGACGCCTTCATTGTCCTTCCTGATTTGCCTTCTGCCGCTTTGACGTACTCGACGTCGCCGTCGTCGCTGCCTCACAGCAGAAGAAGAAAAAAAAAACAAAATGAAACTTTTCCCGTTTGTCTGTTGCTTTTATCGCAGTTTATTGTTAATGCTGTTCTACTTGTTGTTGTTGTTGTTGTTGTTGTTGTTGTTGCTATTTTGGTTGATAACAGCTCAAACTTTTTAACACGCGCGGTTCGTAATTTTTTAATGCCTTCGATGTTGTGATGATATTCTTCTCTTTTTTTGGCCACCTTTTCTTTGTTGGGGGTTGGTTGGTGTGCCAACAATTTAATTTGTCATTAAGGCCCGGCTCTATTTATATTGCTGTCCGCATTCGAATACAAAAAAGAACACAACAAAATCGATTTGTTAAAATGGAATTTCTTTTTGATTTCTATACCCACTCCAGGAAGAAGTTTCCCGCAATTTGCCGCACGTTTCTCCTTTGCTTTTTTTTTTTATATTTTATATATATAGAAAGTGTAACGTAAACACGTACAAGACGAGCCACAACTCAGGGCTTACGACTTATGGCGGTCATAAATGGAGTTTCGTATCGGTTTTTTTGTATGGCCGCAAAATCGAAACACGCACACGCGAACTCCAATGTCCAGCCGGTTTTTCTTGCCTTATATATAATATATAAATGAATTTTATTTTTATTTCACCACTGGAGAGAGATGCCAAGAGAATTTAACAAACAACTGTCACTGGCACTTTCAGTTACTTGTGTGACAAGTGGCCACAGGTTTCAATTGGCTTTCGTTGTGGTTTTTGTATTTATTGCTGTCTCGCAGGCTTTTGATTTCCTGGCCCGCTGCTGTCAGCGATCCGTGGCGATGAGCGCCCTCTCTGGTTACTGGCCACTGACTGAAAGTTGTGGCCAAGACAAGTCCTTTGGCGGCAAATCAACACAGGAAGCGGCGAATTCAAGGAAGAGAGCTTCTGCGCACTGCTTAATGGCGGGAAAAGGAAATTTTAAATCCTGCAACAGAGTTGCAAGGAAAGGTAGTAGACTAAAAGAGCTACATTGTTAGAAGTTTCTGCCGAATTAAGGAAAATTTTACGAAAAACTTTTATATTTTATAGCACACTTATCAGGGCAGGCCTTGGCTTGATATTTCTCCAATAAATAGTAACTTTTTCATACTACTTTTTAAGCAACCCTGCTGAAGTCACCCCCAGAACAGCTGATTTACCCCACAATCCAACCCAGCTCGCACCCAACCACCCCTAAGTGCCGAATTTGCCGCACACAGAAAAAAGAAAACCCCTTGAGGCGTTGAGGGCAGGACAACTATATAGTATAACACCCCCCAAAACCAGGCTGGGCGTCAATATTTGCATTTGTAATAAAAATATTTTGATGCCACCCCGCCAAAATGCGTGAGTAAATCTAAAAAAGATTTGTTATTTCAGAGCGTGTTCATGTCTCGTGCAAATCAGACAGCAACAACAAAGGGGCGGGCCAGGACGACATGCACACACATAACAGCAGCAACAACAACAACAGCAACAACAGCAACGTCAATATACCAGGATCTAAAATCAGCAGAACAACAGCTGACGATGCCGGCATCCAGCTTGTCGCCTGCACATGTCAAAGTTATTAAAATTTCATAAAAAAAAAAAGAGGAGGAAATGTGTACTATTGAGGCAACGCAATTTGATTTAACGCTTGTTCTGTCAGTGACAGTTGTGTGTATTTTGCTTTTTAAGTGACGCCAAGAGTGACGGAATGTCTGATAAGGTGCAAGGACCTGCCTTCGTCCTGTTGTCTCCTTTAAATATTGAAATGCTGATGAGCAATAAGGCACCCATCATTGGTTGCCCTCTGCTCTGGGCCAAGAAGCGCATGTCTATCACTTGTCACGGCCAAATTGGCGGGCCTTATGAGCGATGATTGCCTCGATGCCATCGTGCATCACTCACTTAGCAGCCGGTGGAGACTAGAAAAATGTGGAAATGGCTGCAATCTAAGAGCAATGGCTGACTTTGATGAATGGAGTTTGATTTGTCTCGCATTTATTATGCCATCTTCAGGGAGGTTCATATGGTCTAATTTAAAGTATAATTTTATGGATTTTAAAGACTATGTTTTACTAATATTATTACAGAAGAAAAAACTTTAATAGGGATTGAAGTATTACATTTGAACAAAAAAAAGTTGAGCAAATTTATTTAATTTGACTCACCACCAAGCGGAATTAATTCACCTGCCGTGCTGTCAATGTTTGTTATTTCAGGAAATATATTTGAATTTTACGTTTGCCATTGATGAATACAATAAAATTATTACTCCAAAAAGTTAACTGGTTAAAGTAAATAGATAGTTTTTTATTAAAGTAAGAAAAGTTATTTCGACAAGGGAACGTTTTAATACCCTATGCTTATAGTTTCAATATCTAAAGGCATTATCCGGACTAACTTGTTAAGCTAAAAGTATCCTTAAGGTAGGAAAAATGCAACAGGTAGTTAATTTTAAATAAGACCATATCTTTATAAATCTTTAAAAATTAAAATAGTTTAAAAATTATAAAAATTTACGGAAATTATGTTTCATTCGGTAAGTTGGCTATCAACATTTAGAAACCATTACAATACCCTTTCAAAGGGCATAAAGGCTTAAAATCATTCAATAATTTAAATGTTTTTTGTTAAATGTCTAATGGAAAATAATTTATTTCCTTTGAAACAGATTAAAAGCAATATTATTAATTGGATAGTAAGATTAGCCAATCGATCACTGTTTGGGATTTATTTTTTTTTATCCCTGTACAAATTTTTATCAACATTTTCAATATACAAACAAATTTGTAGTACCGCAGAGAGTACATATTTTTTCCTTTATGACTTTTTGAATGCTGAAAAAGTTTACGCAGGGCTGTGAAGGAAAGCAAGGTGTGGAGTTTTAAACTTGTGCAGGGGAACTTTTCGATGCGGTGTGTGTCACCTCTTGCTAAATAAATTTAATATATAAAAGGGGATTCTCCCATAAACTGGTAAAAAAACTTCTGCTAACTTCTGCTGAAGGACCAGAGACCGTTTGTTCAGGTATTTAAAGCGGGCTAACTGATTTGGCCTCTTCGGAAGGCGGGTCCTATGATAAATTACTTTACGAAAGTAATGGTAAGGGTACGTTATATCATTGCCATGACGCCGGTTAAATTACACACGCATTTGCCAAATAAAAATCACTCATTCGACGCGTGTGCCAAGGCGCCCACGTTGCCACGGGGCTTTCGAACAAATTTGTAATTTGTCAGCCCAAGTCGAGTCTTGACAGTTATTTAGAAGTTTACAACTGTCGCCGGCAGTAATCAGCTTTACTTTTGCCCTGATAATATGCTGTTAATGTACTTCGATGCGGAGTGGGTAATTTGGGTTTTGCCCAACGTTATTTACTTTTCAGTTTTGTGTCCAGAACTTTGTTGGCCCTCGGTCCTTGGTAATCAGGAAAATAAGTTTTTAAGGAAGGGGAAAATGAAAAACAAGTTAGCATTTGCTATATTTGTAGTTTTTAAATTTATTTTTTGCTTTTCTGCTTGTTTTCCAACTTGAAGTTTCGTAATGTTGCTTTATAATACATCTGAATTTCATATTCACTTAGTTAGTAGCTTAGTTTGCCATTTACTTGTCTAGCCACTCGAGGCTAGATTTGCTCGTTAGCCTGGCTTAATGTTAGGACTCTATTTGGTTTTGCATGGAAAATTGCACAGCAAAACACAAAACAATGCAACCAAAAGTTGTTCAGTTGTCAGTAATAATGATTACAATAATAATAATAATAATAAATAAATAACTCGCACACACAAATATACACAGACCTGTCAGTATACAAATATAAATTACACATATACATATACAGTATTAGTTTCGGGTGTTGTTGTTCGGTTTATAAAAATATAACAAGTTTCTTTAGAGATTTGGTATTTGCGGTCTCCTCTGACGTTTTATTTCATCTTTTCAAGGAAGTCATATATAATAAATACTTACGATAAGTTTAACATTTATTTAGACATATATTTATACACACTCTATATGATACATACTGAGCTTTGGCTCCTAATCCTTGTTTTTCCCATTCATGGCAACAGTATTATTTTCTTTTTTACTTTCAGACTAGCTTTGGGAAATCAGCATAAAAAAAAAGTTTCTTTTTTTTTGTATTATAAATTTATATACTTGACTTGTTTCTGCTCGGTTTGCGGATTAAGGAGAAAAATCATAAATCGTTAAGTTTTCGCAAACTGTGTTGGTAACATTTTATGGAGTCGTAAGTTATTTATACAAAGAACACAAAATGCTTTGTCTGCTTATTTGGTTTATTCGCCTTATTTGCATTATTTGCCATTGCTTTTCATAGTCGAAAGTTCAGTGGAGTTCCGGGGTTTGCCTTTGGCCTTTCTCTTCGTTGCGGAATATTGGGCCGCAATTGCTGGAATCAAGTTGCTGACTTCTGAAGCAATACTCAAGCCTTGCCCTCACAGGCTACACAGTCAACTTAATTCCAGGAACTGCAACGCAATTACCCATTGTAATCATCATTCGAAGCACTTTCTTTCACTTTCACTTCCAGGAAACTCGACACTAAACACTTTTGGGAATCAAAGGAATTCCTCACTAAACAAAAAAAAACACACACAATTGGTTAGTCTGATATCGATGCACTATATGTTGGTTAATTTATTTTTGGGCTTTAGCTTTAGCTTTGGTTTTGACCGAACTTCAGGATCCTATATTGGCTTTGACTATATATTTTGCGCTATGTTTACTTGATATACCTTTTAAGGTTTACTTTAGGTTTTGAGCATTTTCAATTCATGCGATTGTCGTTCAAATAACAATTGGGGTTTTTTAGCTTTGCTTTTTTCTAGCTTCCGTGGCTTTTTGCGGGCTTCTCTAATTTTCTCTCTGATTTTAATTGTGGTTGGGCAAATCTCGTTTTTGTTTTATTTGCAGGACTTCACTCGTAGTTAGTTGTCTATAATTTGCGGTCTCTTAATTGGCACAGTTTTAGCTTTAGCTCTTCTCTTTTCTGTTTTTTTTTTTTTTTTGGTTTTTGGTTTTTGTTTTTTGTTTTTTGTTTTTTGTTTTTTGTTTTTTTGCGAATCCCTATGTACACGCATAGCTCAGTGAGTTGCAGTGATTGCCATTTGAATTAATTTATTTTTGGTTTAATCTTTTCGTTAGCAAAACGCTTTACGGCTTACAGTTTTTCCAATCGGCGTACATACATGTGTATATATATTTATATATATAGAAATGAGTTTACAACCTGTGCTTAATTTAGTCGTACAAAAATACTCAGTATTTACAACAAGATTTAAACGACACGAAATCATAAATAAATAAGTTATCCTATATATATATATAGCCCCGATCTGTGCTCTAAAGGAACGGAAATTGAGAAAAAATATATATAATAATAAAATCGAGAAAGAGAGAAATAAGCAATCGATGGGCAGAAATGAAATGGCACGCTCCAACGCATGATTGATTAATGTCAACATTACGAGTAAATCAGCCGACGCATGAGCCGGCATATTAATTTTACAAATTAATGGAACATTTTAATTGCATTAAATTGATTCCTCCTCCACTGTAGCTCTCTCCCACGGCTGCCATCGCATTGATTCGCATCCACGAGCTCTTTACACATGACTCGAGGCCGTCGAGGCGGCAGCATTGTTGTTCTTGTTCCATTTGTTGATGTACTCCATGGGTATTTCGATCTGAATCTCCTGAACATCATCGCCCTGCCCCAAACAGTCGACATTGGACTTGGCCTTGCTCGAATCCTTGTCCCTGGCGGCAGCTGCCAATTGTCCGCCCAGGCGGGATCCGCCCGCCGCCAGCCGCTGTTGCTGCTGGGCAATGGGGGTCAGCAGCGCCTCATCCCTGTATTATAAGTTATCCACCATTTGCGATTGACGGCGGTGCGAGGGCGTCGTCGAATTGAGATAGCTCTCCGAGTAGACGCTCTTTGCCCGCTGGTCATAGCGCAGACTGGAGCGTCGAATGTCAATGTCCAGCGGCAGGTGACGATCCTTCCACCAATTGCAAAACAGGCAGAGCAACGTGTTGCGGAAAGCCTCCCGGAAATCCCGATTGAAGTACGCATAGATCAGCGGGTTGAGCGTTGAGTTGAAGTAGCCAATCCAGAACAAAATCGATACCACTATTTCCGGCACTTGGCATACCGCACAGGTCATGGAGAGAGTGTACCTGAGAAAAGGCAAGAAATAAGTATTAGTTTTTGTATATTTCATAGATTTTCTATTAATGGAAAATGTGGAAAACTATCCCCAGTGAGTTTAGAAAAAGTTTAAAGTATTCTTTATATTTAAATATGTTTTTATCTGAGTAACTCGGTTGTTTCTTGACATTTGTTGTCTTTTATTTACTCTTTAACCTTATTTAAGACAATTTTCTTTATATATTTTTTTTGATAATAAATAGACTTAAGAGACGTAAATCATATCAAATCGTTTTAAGATAAAGACCTTATTTTCGCATCACTTTTTCCCTGTGTATGGAATCAAGATGAGATGTGTACACATACATTCCAGATGCATGAGTGGGTCTGGGCTTTGCATAAATGAGATTATATTTGGGGCGGTGCGAAAAACAACAACAATAGCCGACAAGAACAATGGAGCACGGGCCGTATGAGTAATATTTAATTATGCATGCGTGACATTAGATAAATTATGCCTCAAATCCCATGTCAGCGGGATGCGTTCAACGTTCAACGTTCAACGTTCGACGTGGCACTCACCACAGAAAGAATGGCAGCCAGCAGAGGATGAAGGTGCCCATGATGATGCCCAGCGTGCGTGCGGCCTTGTGCTCCCGCTTCATTTTGATTAAGTGCTTGTCCTTAGTGGGTGTGTGCTCCTGCTCGACCTCGTGCAGCGTCAATGTTTTCGACGACCCGGATCCGCTCAGCGCCTCGCCTGCCATTGGAGATAAAATTGAGATTTGATAAATGTCCTGGCATGAGATAGGCCATACAACGGTTTGTGCACTTCTAGTGCTCTTCACTTTGGTGGTTACTTATCAATCAACCAAGTTTAACAGAGTTATATTTTATATATTGTTATCTAAAACCCACCTGAGGGCTGCATGGAAGGTCTGTGCATCAGCATGGCATTCCCATGTCGCATCATCAGCTGCTTCTCCTGCCGATTGGCCTCGCGAAATATGGCCAAGTAGGTGAATATCATGATGGTGCAGGGAATCCAGAACGAAATCGAGCTCGAGATGACAGCATAGTACTTATTAACCACAAAGCCGCATTGATCTGGATGCTCAATGACGTACTGCTTGTGCTCTGGAGTGGTGTACCAGCCGATGAAGATGGGCAAGAAGGAGAGCAATGCCGGCGATATCCATGTGTTCAGCAGCATAATGCCGACCACGCGTTTCGTCATGCTAATCGGATACTTGAGCGGCTTAACAATCGCATAGTATCTAGATGCAGGCAATGCAAAAATGTTAGGTTATTGGTGCTACATATGCTGATATTACTGATATTACTGGCTATGCCATTGGGACTTACCTATCCACAGATATACAGCATAAATGCAAAATACTCGCTGTTGAGAAGTAGACATCCAGGCTGTTCCACAAATCGCACAAGAATTGGCTGAAGTTCCAGCTGAAAGAGTCCAATGATTGGAGGCATTAGTACCCCGATGATAACCCAATAACAAGGCAATCAACTTCGGCCTTTAGCTTTTGAAGTCATCCTATCTGATTATCGTATCCATGAATGTGCAGTTTCTATTTTTGTTGATTCATTTTTGGTGTTTTTTGTCCGACTTTTAAAATGCCTCGCGAATTACTTTCATGAAGTCATCGCTATAAAACGCTTTTTTTTTCCTTTGTGGAAATTTGTTTTTTCACGGTTATATCATTTTATGAAAGCGATTTTATTGCCCAAAATAAGTATTTTAAATTTCAAGAACTTTGAACTTTTATGAATTTGTAGTCAATAAAATTAGATGGCAAAGCTGCCAATTATTCGGCAATTAAAAAGTGATAAAAATTACTTCTATCTTTGGATTATAAGTATTTCAACTTATTAAAGCGAAAAATACAGACTATGTGTGCATTTTTGCAACTTGATTTTCCATTTAGAAAAACTAAAAATGCTAATCTAATCCTAATGTTTATGACCAATTTAAATTGAAAATTAAAACTTATCTTGTTTTAACTTTTAGTACCATTTAAAACTAAAACACAGAAACCGTTCAGACTATATAAAAGTCAGAAACATAAAAGCAATAAAGTAAGTCTGAATTTAAACGGCATTTTCCTGCCAAATCCTGAATGTAGGCCAGTGAAAAAAGCGGAGACTAGACAAGCCAGTGAAATGCCTCAGACTCTCGTTTTTTCGTCCCACTTTCTTATCAGCCCGCCTGATTTATGTGTTTATCGATTTCATCTTAGTTGCGGTTGCCAGGTGACATTGCCCCTGAACTGGCTGCTGCCTCTGTGGAGGGCCAAATTAAAAGCTTAAATGCACTGTGAGACCAGAAAATAGGCCATAAGGCTAGGGCATGGAGGATGTTGGCCAGGAAAAGTGGAGAGAGGGCTGGCTGCATGAAAAACTCATTAAAACTTGCGTCGCTGTTGCCTGTCGCCGTCGCCCTTGGTTGCCACTCCGGTTTGGCCATTTTCGGTGGAGGCGGCTCCCCAGGCTCAGGCCCAGCTCGTTTTTGGCCAGGAGGCGCTGTGGAATTTATTATCGGGTCGCCCCGTTTGGCATCAGTTTCAGAAACTTTTCGACTATCCAACGAGGCTGTATTCGCGCCTCGCCCCTGGTCGTTTTAGGCGTTTTTTGGGGTTTTGCACTTCATTCTGTTTTTAAGGGCGCCATCTATTTTTGACGCTTAAGCCATGAAATGGCGACAGCACTTGCTGCTGCTTCTGCTGCAATTATGCAACTAGCAACTGTGAAGGTGAAATGGCCAATGAATGCCAAGTGGAGGTGGTTGGCTGTTGCCAGAAAAGCAGGACGACGCCGACGTTTGCCGATGCCAATTTATATGCAACTTGAGTCGCTGAAGTTTTTTGGCCTGGCAGTAAGTGCACATAATGTGACTTCAATGAAGGTTCTACCCAAAATCCCCACACTCTATCGTCGCCATCGCTGCCGTCATCATCATCACGATCTCGTTGTCGCCACCAGTGACATTGTCAACATTTACATTGGTCCCTCGGCTATGAAGTCGAGCTTTAAGCGCGGCCTTTAAGCCAGCCTCCATGCATAATTAACTGGGCCCAGTCAGCTGCACTTGGCGTTGCACATATACACACATTCACATATCGCATTACCATTACCCACATGGAAAATACATAGAAGGAGTCGGACTGTTGGACGTTCGGCGTGAAGGATGTGACCATGTCACACTCTGACGGTTTTTGTCCTTAGAATAGCTTTTCAAAACTGTCGTTTCCCTCTCAGTGGGTACTTATTACTGGTTTGAGTTACTTGTGGGTAGTTAGGGCTATTTAAATCTTGGAGATTATATGTTTTTCTAGCTAATATATATTTCTCAATCATGTTTTCCTTTATAAAGAAATTTAAACTTTCCTTGTTAAATCAATTACAAAAACTTTAAACTTTCAAAAACTTTAACTAATTCTTTCATATATTGCTGTTTAGAAAGTGATCAATTATAAACTAATCTTAGGGATTAATTTAACTTGTATATTAAACATCATGTTAAGCATCTTACAGCCAGAAACTATCACTATCTATGTAAAGTGACTTTTTTATTTTACTATTTTGTAGTATTTTGGAAATGCAAAAGTACATTTAGGGCTCAAAGTTCTAGAACCCAAAAAGGGTGAAATTCTAATTTTGCCTCTATTAAAATTCCTGGAAGCTGTCTTCTGTAAGTTGGCAAACTGGAATTCCTTCAAGGAAAATGGGTATCCTGGAATCGTATTCTTAAACGAATGCCATTCTGTTTGTTCTATTTTTCACATTTTAATTCTTGAACACAAATGCACGCACATGGGCACACAGAGAGATGACTTTCTGCATTTGCATTTCCCTCTCACAACCAAACAAATACATGCGAAAAAGTGGGTGTATATACACGTATATATACATATATATACGTACACAGACAGGGACATTCACAGGAGCATAAATAAACGTTGCTTTCATTTTTCAGGGATTTTTGTTTTTGGTTGTTTGTTCTGTAACTGCCACGCCCACGTCGGCCTCACAAAAACCACCCAGCAATACCAACCAACCAACCAACCACCCAACCGCCCACCCACCTTGGCTGCCTGGGCTGGCATTTTGTTTGGTTGCAGCTGTAATTTTTGCAACAGTTTTGCTCGCTTTTGTTGCTCTGCTTAGGCTTTGTGTGTATCAGTGTGGATGTGGGGCTGTTGTATTTTTTGTAGTATTTGTTGTTGTACTTACCTCCCAGTTACTTGCACACTAAAGTTAAATGTCATGGCCATAATAGCGACCATTATATCAGCCATGGCTAAGGAAACTACAAAGTAATTCGTTATAACTCTGCAAAGAGAAGAAGGAGGGTGAAAACGAGAGATGTTAGCAATCAGAGAGGACAATATTCAACAATACATATGGGATATATATATATATATATATATGCCCCCCATGGGGGCTAATCAGGATATATGATATGAGTGGATGGGGACTTCTTCTGCGTCCTTTGTATGAGTTGACAGTTTGGACCCCATTGCATTCTGCTGCCAGCGGGGGTATAATTGAAAAGCCAGTCAAGAATCGAGAATGATGTCGAACGATTTCCCCCCAAATGAAAATCAGATACAGATACAGATATATGTACAATATATACGGGTAAGCATCGAGGGGGTGCGGAGGCACTGAAAACCGAGGTCAACCGCAATCCTCTGGGCAAACCTTTTCCAGTTTATACCTATTTTGTTATTTAAATTGAATTCCAAGCCGAGTGCCGGCAAATGCTTTTGCCAATTAGAGTTTTGCACTAGTTGCTGGCCGAGGACTTTCTAATCGGATGAGTGCAGCTACCTCATTGAACTCTCCCTTTCTCCGCCTTTCATTTCCCCATTCACACTAAACCAAATGGGAAAAGTTTGATATCAAAAGTGAGCATTTACTGCACTGGAAAACTTTTGCGCGATTATTCTAATATACGGGCTTAGGGAATTTTATTCAATTTTTTAACGATTTTTAAATCATATTTTATAGTTAATATCTTAGTTTAGTTAGTTCTAAACTCAAAAAGTTCGAGTAGCTTAATAGTAGTAAATAAATGTTGTTCAAGGACCTTAAATTCTTCCTCCACTCTCTCCGTGTAGCATGACCATGTGTCTTAGTTTTCAGGCTTAATGAACTAGCAATTCCTTTATCCATTCATTCCATCTATTGTTGTCTTTAAGTTACATTAATCTCATCTTCTGAAGCCATTATACTTAGTTACAAGTTGGCAGCCTGTTCTGCTCCCGGCTACTACTTAAATAACTTTCAACATCTTAGACGTTAATTGCAACAAATCGACGCCATTCTGAAAATGTTACGCCATTAGTCAGTAGCTCCTTCCCAAGGCACCCCGCCCGCATCCAGCGATTTGAACTGCAGATAATTTGCCTGCCATTTAAATTTAAGAAAAATAGCAAAAAGCTGGGCGTTTTTAGTGCAGAGGATGAAAGTAAAAAGACGGAAACAGTTGCCGAGCATCCTTCAAGTGAAGGCGCTGCGTTAATGAGCCCAAGTTCCCCATTTCCCTCCTCTTATTTTCCGACTTGCTGTAATGGCAAATTAAAGCACACACATATATCTCTTGATTCTAGAATCTAGATATATATATATCTGCTTGTATTATATACAGTCTCTATCTAGAGCACTTCTCGCTGCGGCTCATCGTTGCCAAATAATTTGGGCGGCGGGAAAGAAAGAAAGCGGAATTTTATTGTTTGGCATAGAACATTTTAAATTTATGCTGTCATAAAAACCATAAGCTGCCTTAATTGCCAAAGTTGTAGCCGCGCTGTGTGTGTGTGTTGTTTTTGTTCTTACTCTCATGCCCGCGGTACCCAGTTTTCCCCATTTTCCCCATTTCCCCCCACCCACTCTCATGTTGAGCATGCATTTTGTTTTTGTTCCATTTCTCTTTGAGCTACAAGCTCGCAGTGTTTAATTGTCATTTCTTTTCTAGCTGGGTGTGTGCTTTTTTCCTCCATGTGTTTGTAAACTTTTTTATCCCCATTTTTATTTCCATTGCCTTGTTTCACGCTACGTATGCGTAATATTCGCCGCTCAGAACAAAAGAATAAGAGCTGCAAGCTGACCAAGCAGAAAAAGTTTTTACATTTCGGTTTTGTGTATATTAATTACGGTATATGATAGTCATATCTGGGCAAATAATTAATTTTGTCTAATCAAGAAGGGTGTTTGAAGGAGAAAATTGTTTTGGCTCTTAGATATGTGAAAGAATTCTTACTAATTATTACTTTTATTATCTAAATAAGATGCAGCATTTAATTTAGGTCTTTCTATTTGTAGGTTTAGACAAAAAGAAGTACTTTTAAATATATTCTTTTAAATAATAGCAAAACGGTTTAAATTCTCTATCAAAACCCCGTTTCCCGGATAGCTCCTTTAAAAAGTTTTTAAATCCAAGTTAATCCCTTGGCCAACGGCCTTCAACCTCTTCTTTCTCTCAAGTTTATTATCAGTGCAACGAAATTATCTTGATGATCATCCATCGGCATCATCATTAGTTAGACCCAACATGGAGCTTGGAGCACCTGAATCCAGCAACACGCAAGTCACTTAAAAAATAAAACGCTTCTCATTAGCAGCAAGGGTAAGAAGAAAAAAATGAGAGAAATTAAGCAAGGTTCAACCTTAATTATGCCTCGCCTCCCCCCTTCTTTTTCATTATAATTTTTTGTTTCTGCCTACGTTTTTTTCTGTGCCATCTAGCAAAGTTTGTTTGTTTCGCCTTTTGGCTTCACTGCCCTTCGCCAACTTTGGCTAAGAGCATTTAAAGTTTTTCCTCTGTCGGGTAAAAATATTCTGCTTTGAAAAAAGTGGAGCAAAAATAACTAAGCGTTTGCCAGCCAGAAAGGAACTTTTGATTGCGTCGGCTTTATGAAGCGCTAAATTGATTTGCCTGGCAGTTATTAAGGCATAACTAAAAATATTAACGAACCCCAGCCAGCTGACGTCTCATCATTTATCACTGGAAAAGTTTGTTTTTTTTTTCATATATTTTATGATAATGTGATTCTTGTCGAAGGACACTGCCCTAAAAACTCCTCCCATCATTAGCAAACGAGGTCGTCCGAAAAGTTTGTGGTGTGTGGGTGTGTGTTTTTGGTCGTAAATGAATATGAAATTTTGGAATATGAAAATTGATTTGCTTATTAGTCATTAAACTCAGATATTGGGTGTCCTTAAATAGAGCAATAAATTCCAGAACTGAAACCACAGTTCGTCCTGCTCAATGTTCTGATTGGTTAAACAAATATTTACTGCCAGTTAAATTTCCATTTAAATTGTGCTGTTAAAGTCAGTCCTAAGACTGGCAAAGTTAAATCATTAACCGAGCGTCCAATTAAGAATCTCTTAATATGCAAATTGGATTCATGAATAAAGTCATGAAAGTTAATTTGTCATTAAAATAATGCATCTCTCTGTTCTTTTGTTGGGTCCGCCTTCGCCTCCTCCATCGCTAAATGGTGGAAGTAAATACTGCAGTCTCATGACGAAACGAAGGATAGAACAATACCGAGATGCTCAATTATGGGGCAAAGTAAATAAGGGACAAGGAGTCTGCATAAAATACGAGCAATGACAGAGCACAGTGAGCACCAAAAAGAGGTCCTGCAGCACGTTTTTTTGAAAGGGATGACAAAAAAAGAAGGGGAAAAGGTGCGGACGTGCATGAATTTTATGCAAAGTTGACGAAAATCGCGAAGCGCTTTTCTAATTTCTGTTTTTTTTTTGCCTTCCCGTAAGTTAACCAAACGGCGAGGTAACTCTGCAAATTGGCAATCAAGCTGGAGGACAATGCCGTTGGCATGAAACAGTTTTATGCAAATTACGAAAGAATTACACGAAGCGCCGAGCATTTCTAATTGCTTTTTCACAGCTAATTATGGCTGCAAAAGCCCTTACCCTCCCTTAGAGATACCAGCTTAAATATCACGTATACGCACCTTAATTTTCTAACACGCATCACAGAAATAATAACAAGCAGATTGCCACAGATGGCCGCAATGATGATGAGCAGCATGACGAAGGTCTTGAACACCCAGAAGATATTGTGCACCATGCCGGTTGGTGGTACTCCTGCTTCGGTCTCGTTGGAGCTCAAACCCGCCATCGTCGTGCTGTCCAGCTGTGTGGCGTTCAAATCGTATGCAGCGGGAGTGGCAGTGCCCTGCGTTGGCAGTGCAGTTCCGGCGTTGGTGGAGGACGAGCTGGTGGCCAGGGCATTCGTTGTGTGCAGCATGGCAGCGGTGGTTAAAGCGGCTGCCGTAACCCGCGCCAAATACGTCAGACTTTGGCTGTAACTTTGGCCATAACTTGGGTTACTAGAGTTAACGGGTTGTTGATCCTCCTGGCTGCTGCTCCTGCTGATTACCGGCGCAGCAGCATTTTGGTCTTTTGCGTATCCTGGCGGCACTAGTTCGATGCCTTTGCCGCGGTGGCTCCGGGCCAAGTTCGGGGCACAACAACATGAGTCTCGGTGTCTTGTTTCTATATTTTTCTGTATATTATTTCTTTGGCTTAATAGCTCTGACTCTCTCTCTCTCTCTTTTTCGTTTCGTTTAAACACTGTTACTGGCTTTGTATTTGTTATTTTTCACACTTCTAACTTGCAACACCCACTAGAACCGCCATTAGAAATTCACGACACGCGTAGCGCCGGCGACGTTGAAACCAAAACTGAAACGGCCACCGCAACGGAAATTGATTCGCGAAAGTGGCCCGTGGACCGTGTGGCCACGACAACGTCGCCGCTGCCTGAGATTCGGCCACAGCCTCCTCCTCTTCGAACGCCTCGACGTCGACCACCTCCTCTTCAGCTTTTGGCCGCTGCCAACGTCAACGACCAACGGCTGTCCTTGCCAGCCAACGCCGCCCACACGCAGCTCTTGATGGCCTCGCTTTTCCGTTGATTTTCCGTAGCTTTTCCGCCTGCTGATGGAGAGGCTACCTCGGCTGGACGACAATTTCTGGCTATTTACTGCTATGCGGCTTCTATTTTTTTGTGGAAATTTGCTTTTGCTGCTTCTGCTCGTTGATTGGGTTTATTATTTTTTTTTTTAATATTTTATTTTTTTTTTTTGTTATTTATTCTTCTAGCCTCCAAGCGGCTGCCTTTTAATTCTGTTCATATTTTTTTGCCACCGCGGCTGCCGCCGCCTTGTTTTGCCGCCGAAAAAAATATTCGTTGATTTCGTTTTGGTTTTATTTTTAACATTTCTTTGGCTTCAAATTATTTTTAGTTTGTTTCTGGCCAAGTGGTCGGTTTTTTAGATCTGCTTCCACTAATTCAGATATTGTTATTCGATGTTATGCCTCCTGGAACTGTGCCATAAATTGGTGGATCCGAAAAAAGAGAAATAAACAAAGAAAAAAAAAATCACAATATTAAGAGCATGGAAAAACATGGGCTCGATTTTCTTTTTTTTGGCCGCGATTAAAATCACTTTTGTGCATTATCTAGTTGTTGCCGCTGGCATTTGTATCGATTTGAGTCAATATTTGTTTATTTACTGACGCAGAAGTTGAGTTGTTGATGTTGTGCGTGTTCTCCCGACTTTTATGCGAATTAAACAGGGTGAGTTCTTTGTGTTATTATTAATCACTGCGATTGTTTAAATAGACCATCGGCTTATTATGAATTTCTTTTTCATTTATATCAAAAAAATAATAATAAATTATTGGTTAAAGTTTTTACTGTACCCATTATAAAATCCTATTAAATTTAAATAAAATAAGGAAAAGGAAGGTAACTTACTAAGATAGATATTAGGCTTTTCACTAACAATAAATCATTTATAAACTAGTGACTTTGAACAAGAATTAAAAAATCAGAACTCAAGAATTTTACCTAAGACTCAATAGCAAAGATCCGAACCATACTTAAAATTCTTTACCAATATTGGAATAAAAACTAGTTTTACTTCAAAGATACTCAAACCCCAAAACAAATCACCCTGTTATGATGTCATTTGAATCAATTTGACTATATCAATATCGAGTCTTAACTGCTTCAATCCCAATGCCACACCCTGTATAAAAACTATGATTTATATGACAACAGCTGGGCGAAAGAATGTCATTCGCTTCAAATGCCTTTTAGCAAACAGCCGCCATATCTAAATCTATATCTCGATGTGTATATATATATATTCCGATGTCTTCGGCCCTGAACCCCTGCCCCGACTAAACCTACTAAATGATGAGGAGGGAAAAATGGTTAGATGTCCTATGCGATTTTTTGTTGCCCCTCGCTGGGATATAGAGCACTCATTTAGAATATATAGAATATGGCTATGGCTATATGCGAATGCTAAGTCTATATATTTATTCATTTCGATGTATATTTATATTTATTTTTTGCCGAATTTATTTCCTGATGATGATGTTTCATTTTCATGTTCGCACACGCTTTCAACGCTCGCCATCTTGGCCGACCGACTGTTTGATGTTGTTCCTGCCAGCTGTGGTTGTTGCTAAATGTCGTACAACAAATTGGCCACTCGACTTTTTGGTGGCCACGAGCTCTAAATTATACGTTGCTCACTCGCGTAGGGGTTTTATATTTTGATTTTTTATTTATTGCACATTTCCTTCGACCATTTTCTTTGGCGTTTTTCTTTTGGTTTTTGCTTCGGTTTGAGTTTGAGTTTCTCAGATTGCACACAGCGGCTAGATTGTTAATTAGGGAAATGAAAGTGTCCACACGCTGAAGTTTGCCGCAGTGAGTCAAACCATATGGCGCGAAGGGTTGTTGATTTTCCTGCCACGCCCTGGCGCTTTTCCAAGTTGAGCAACTGCAAAAAAAATAAAGGAGAAAAGTGAATATGTTATACGTAAAATATTATTTAAGCATACATAAATATTGGCGAACAACAAAAGCAAACACATTTCCCATAGATATTTATTTTATAAATAAAATACAACAATTTCTCTTTATGAATGCCCAGCTCATCAAAGAGCTGCCGTTGGTTGTTGTTTTAGATGTTTTCTCTTCTTTTTTTTTTATAATTTTTTAATTTATAATTTTGCACTGGTAGGCGGCAGCACTCTGGTTTGAAGGCGCGTGGGCGTATAATTAATTTTGTGGCAAAATGAATTTCCTTCAGTTTTATGTATAAATAGATTAAAAGTTGATTTAATTAATGGGTTTCTCCAAGTACTGGGAAGGGGGTGAAGTGTGGATAAAGGGCTGTGATTCGAAAGTCATATAGATATAGATAGATATATCTATATAGCCAACGAATTTGTCAACAAACATGAAATCTCGTTGGCCAAAGCAGAAGGTTAACGGATGAGTGACAAGCGATGACAGTGTCCCGGCAACGGAAGCACCAGCCATGGAGCCCCTAAATGCGCCGGACGCAGCTGTCTTGTATCTGTATCTATGTATTTACGTATCTAACATTTGACTGTATCTGTATCTGTATCTTTTTGCATCATCCATAGAACAGCTTGCCATGTTTCCATCGTGCAGTTAACGACTGACACATCGTTGGGAACATTAGCGGCCAGCCAAATGCCAATGTTAATGTCATGAAAATCATTTTTTAAATTTAATTTAGCTCTGCGTACTCTTCATTTACGAGTATATACATTTTACATATAGTTGCGGCTGTTCTAGACGATGTTCTTGGCATTGGACGTCCTCGACTGATTCAGTTTTTGGGGGCCCAAATGGCCAAAATGATGCCAAAAATTCGCTACAAGAAGTGTGTAAGAAAAATATCAATAAATGCTAAGCTGGAGACTCAGCTAATTAAGCTTATCAAACTTTCCAGCACTTTAAGCTACCTCCATATGGGGCAAAAAGTTTCGCACATGCTCTATCTTGTTTAAAGTTTTTAATTAATTAACTTGCATTTATTTTTATTTAATAAACAAAACTTTTTGCTTTTGCACGCAGACACGAAATTCCTTCCTTTTCTCCGTCTTCCCTTTTTGGCGAGTGTGTGTCGACTTTTATTTGCTTTTGGCAATTTGCCACTCCCCCACATTTACACCACCTGCCTCAGATGCCTCAGCTGCCTTACCTGCCTCATTGTCATCATCATCATCAACACACACACACACCTGAGCTGCAGCGAATGGTTTACATTTTCTTTTATTTTGAGAAAGACTCCACATTTTCTTTTAGCTCAAAAATTTAATTTGATTTTAATTTAATTTTGAGGACTTATTTTTGAAATACGAAGAATTTGTGCAACGCCAATTATGAAAATATTTTCATTAAGTGCTGAAATATCACATGGAAGACAGTATTGTTATAGAAGTGCTTATAGGATTGGAAAATGTAAATATAGAATAAGGAAAATTATTTAAATTATTCTTGAAGAAGGAAGACGTTTTAGCATCTTTAGTCTTTTGAATACTTTTTATTAACTTTTTGTTAAATTGTTGTGTTGTTAAATTTTAATTTTGATATAGGAACTTAAACTTATCAAAACTCAACTAAGTTATTTGGGTGCCAATACATTTTAAGTACTGTTTCCTATTTTTAAATGAATGTAATATAAAGTCATAAACCATTTAATTAGGAACTATTTAAATAAATACAACTTTTATCCTACATTAACGAATAAACCAAAAGGGAACAATATGTGAACATTTTAAAAGGAAATACAGTGAGTTTTCACTTCATATTGATGCAAGATCTTAGTTTTTATAAAACCAAATTTCAAATTATACAAATTTTGTCATTAAAATACTCCAAGTTTCGAAATTTAAACCACGAATTTTAATAGCAAAATGCCTCTAAAAATGCTTCTTTTAATTCCGCGGACAATTCCCAAAGCATTTTCGTTTATTGAAAGCGAAGAGGGAATTGATATTTGAAAATAAAATCAATTTTACTTAATTGCCTGCGTCACTTCACTGGATATATCTATGCCTATACTCATATATATATCTACATAAACAGAGGAGAGCCAATGCTTTTTCTGTTTTTTTATTGACTCAACGAAAACAATTTTAATTTCATTAAAATTTTTTGTATATCGCATCAGAGTTTTGCCCCTTTTATGTTAATTTTTATACGGTGAATTCATTTGTGTTGACAAGGTGCTTGACTGACAAAATAACCCATCAAATGTCGCCATAGAAAAACAACAGAGAGAGAGAGGCGCGAGTTGGGGGAAATCAACATTGAAGTGTTTGCCGAAGTGGATTGTCCGCAGGCTCTCTTATTTTTAATGCATATAAATTGTGGGACGATTAAAGGCGATTTACGTTGATGGAAACATCATAATGAACATTATAATCAGTGGAACGGCAGAGACCCATCACTGCAGTGACATACTTGAACCTTTAATGGAATCCCAGTCCGATTTTGTCACGCCACTGGCAAATAAATCACACGAATGAAGCCCATGTCCCATTTCATATTGTATGCATTGGCTATACTTTTACATATTTAATTTTCGCTTTCTCCGCTGCAAATCTCTTACATAGACATCCAAACATCCATACATTCGCATTCAGGCTGAGGGGAAAAGCTTTTCAATTTCAAGTTCCATAGATAAATATGCCAGGCTGCCAACTGTAAGCGATTTAGAGTCCTGAGTCCGGACCGAGATACGAGGGGATGCCCAAGGCGTTGCGATTTTATTGGCCGTAAAGTAGGCAGCCATGAAATAGGAGTAGTCGAGATCTGGATGTGGGTCTTTGGGTCTGGTTCTGGTTCTGGGTCTTTCAGCCAGCCCAAAGCGCTAAGCGAAACACGAGCGGCCATTTAAAAGCCATTGTAGCAACATCCACAAAGTCCACACAATGAAAAACGAAACTTGGCTAAATAGACGGCAAAAAATACGCGCCGATTGATGCCCCATTGTGGTGGCTTGAAAGGAGAGAATGGGCTTTTGGGGGAGGAATGGGCATGGGGCATGCGGCATGTGCAGACTGGTGGTCCTGTGCGAATCTGAAGGATAAGCCACACAAAACAAATGTCAAAGTCAACACCCAAACCAAAGCAAACACAAATAGAATCCCTCCTTCTTCGTTTTGTCCTCTAACGCCCTCCCACCCGCTCACAATTTTACCCTTCGCATACCACTTGAGCTGCAGCTTCGATACAATATAGCATGAATAAAAGGGGGAAATCGGGGGAGTGCTGCGTGGGGATATACAGATCGATTGCCTTGATATTTTCGACCAGGCACCCAGCCACTTCAACTCTAACGTGCTCTATTCTGGCAGAACGATGGAAATTGGGAAAGTGATTACACCAGGAAAAGCATAGATCAAGGAATATTTGTAAGATATTTTGAGAGAGAGAATAAATAATACAAATTAAAAGTTAATTTATTATATTTAGCATTTATACTCTTATCTTAGGTGAGCAAATATTATAATAATAAATAATAGATTAAGTTAGGATCTCATTAAAAATATTCCGTAATTTCTCATTATATTTTTCATATCTTTTGGCACTTACTAGAAGAGTTTGCTTCATTTTTATATTTCTTTAATGTGTAAATGTTTAGGTACCATTAGTTTTTATTTTTACAATTATTTTTTCTAGTGTAAAACATTGAACATTCGCTCTCCCCTTCCCTAGCTGGATTTCATTGTCTCTTGAGATTGTGGCGTCGAATGTCGAGTGGCGCAGCGATTAATGAAAATTGCTTAATAAGCATTATTGTCTTACTGGCATTAAATTGTTTAGAGAAACACTGAAAGGGGAAGTGTGGAAGAGAACAATGTCGCATTGTTCTTCTCGAAAGAGTTGCCCGTCATTTTGCCCCTCAAACCAAAAGATTGCTAATTGATTAGAACAGGGAAGCAGAAACAGTTTTGAGTCAAGAGGCGACACATCTCAGATTCTCATCCTTCGTAACTAGCAGGATCTTGACAATAGACGAAGACCAGGACCAAGACCCATTCTTCAACCAGGAAGGCATAAAGCTTGTCTCACTTCCGTTTGTCATTTCCAGCTTGTGCTGCCTCTGACAGCAAGCTGTCAGAAGTTTGGCGAGCGTTGCGCTGATTGACGAACCCACGGATATACTCTTTTGCCACCCCAATCCGGCTCCCTAGTTTCCCTAGTCCCCAGTCTAGGATGACGTCTCAATGTGTCTGACTCCTTATCATTTCAATGCCAGGGGTCAGGGCTTAATGAGCGCTTGTCTAGCATTGACAGTCCGCCTAAGTGGCTGTGAGTCCTCGACTTATCCTTGGCGCACCACTTCACTTGATTCGCTTCGCGTTCGCTTCAGGGATCTCGAAACTGATGCCTCACGCTTGTCAGTCAAATACTAGGAAATATATTGTTGCAGGCAGCTGGCCTAAATCTGTCTATTGCGCCATCAGCTTAGTGCTAGGCTATCAGTTCTCGCTTGCCATGCCCTTGGGTTTTTCTTTACATCATTAGAATATGAGTTACACTTTGTATCAAGGTTGGCAAAGATTTTTAATAGGCTTAGGGTATCGGCCCACTACCTTTGCAATTACTCAGTTTTTTTTAATTTGCATTAAATAAGCATTAAGATGCTTTATCCGTATCGCTGTTTCGATTCCTTAATCATTCTTAATGAAACGAAGTACCTCTAATAAAGTACCAGCTTCACTAGAGCTTACTCCTCCGCAGCCAGTGACCCATAAATCTGGTCATTAATCTGACCAGGCCATTTGTCAGGCCATCAGGTGGGCTAGCAAAGAAGTAGGAGTACCAAGTCCTTAAGCGGGAGTGTTTACTTGCAGATATCAGCAAATTGATGATGTTCGCTTCCGCTGCAACCAAATGCCAAAAGAGAAAAAACAACCATCGGGCTATGTACTGCAAATTAATGGACCCCTTTGGAGGAAGGCAGGTCCGGAG